AGTAGAAAAAGAAAAAAGAGAATTCTTAATTAGTTGCCAGTATTTTAAAACTTGGTGATTTGGGGGCAGGAGAAATCTTGATTTCTGACTTCTCTGAAAAAAAGAAGTCCTGGCAGCATCGAGTGCTTTGAGCACCTGTTGGCTGGAACTGACAAGCAGTGGCTGTGTGTTCTCTAGTTCCCACGACTCTTAGATCCTGCTTGACCCTGTTGGGCATTTGTGTTTGCAGCCTTTCTGTCCAGAACTCTCAGTGGCAGGTGCTACCGTGGAGAGTTGCTCTGCATTGTGTTGTGTGAGAGAAATTGATTTTATCTAAAATGACTTTTTCAAGTGTGTGGTTCCGTAACCCAGCCAGCACAGTTGACAATGATAAAGTTTTATAAATGGAGTCACTAAGCCTCAATCTTAAATTGCTTATATGTAGCAAATAATGTTGATAAAACTGTACTTGCTTCATAGCTTAGACAAAGTCATCATTCATTTTGTGTGGCTTCTGCACCAAGGAACCACAGATATTTTTTAATCTTTTCAAACTCTTACAGTAAGAGGGATTGTGTAAATATCATAGAAATTTAGATTAATACTAGGTTATTGATGCTAATAGCACTTAAATGTATGCAGTTGTAAATCAGTTCATAGTAAAGTGACTTGAATTGATTCTGATAGATGATCTTAGCTATCATTAGGAAATGAAATTTATTTAAATTATTAAGTACAAATATTGTTTTTTTCTTAAGGAGATTTTGTTGGTCTAGTCTGTAATCATAAAGGAGGGGGATAACGGAAAGAACATACTATTACGTGTGCTCTTGAGTTGATTCTGTCTCAGTGGCTCTGTTAGTCAGAGAATAATTTCTTCACAGGCTTTCCAAGCTGTGAGCTTTACAGAGGTGGCTAACCTGTCTTTCTCCTGTGGAGCTGCTGATGAACCAGTTAATGGCCAAATGCTTAACCCTTGCACCACCTGGCTCCTTGAAGAGGGCATAGCGTTATTAAATAAGTATGCTCCTGAACACAGACCATCATTCAAAATGCATGAAGACAGACTTAAAGAAATAAAAGGAGAAAGAAAGTCACAATCAAGATCTTTCCATACTTAATTGATAGAACAAGTGTCAAGAAAATTATCAGTGACAGGGGGGACTTAAAATGTCAATCTCTTTGACCTGTTTGAGATTTATAAGACCCTTGCATCAAGAACAGAACACATATTCTCTTGAGTTTTTGTTTTGTGCTGTTGAGGGGAGTCTGACTTACGGTAACTCTCTCGGAAACAAGTAGAATTACTCTGGATATTCCTAGGTTAGAATGTTGACAGGAGCACTTTTCTGGGCCTTGTCTTTTGGGGGAACTCCTGCTGAGTTTGGACCACTGACCTTTAGTTTAACAACCTAGCACTTAACCATCGTCTTTCTTCTTAAGTACACTTGAATTAGTGACCAAGACATTGTATTTTAGTCATCAGACAAGTCTCCATAAATGTAAAATGACTCAGATCATACAAAGTATATTCTCTAATTGCATTGTGATCAAGTTAGAGACTGATAACAAGTATCCATGGAAAATTCTCGGGTACCTACTTCTAAATAAGTCATTGGTCCTAGAAAGATACTTTGTCAAAAAGAAATTAAGAATATTTTGAATGGAAAAAAGAACATTTTGAATGAAATAGAAAGAAAAGATAGCATGTCAGAATTTATAGGATTTACATTTATGTGGGGAAATTCCTTTAAAAACACGAACTACCCAGATTTACTCAAGAAGAATTAGAAAACCTGTGCAGCCTTATAAATGTTAAAGAAAATGAATTTGTGGTTAAAACTTACCCACAAAGAAAACTCCGAATCCCAGGCAACTTCCTAGATGATTTCTACCAAACGTTTAAGGAGGAAACAATGCCAGTTCTTTACAAACTCAAATAGTAGATTGAAGAGGAAAAGTTTTTTTAACTTATTCTGTGAGACTTGAATTATCCTGACACCAAAACTGGAGAAAACCATGATAGGGAAAGAGAACTATACACTTGTATTCATCATTCATCATTCATACACATATGAAAGTTCCAAACAAATGTTAGCCAACACAGTTTATAGAAAAAGTATCATAGACAGTTTTACAAAGATAGTATATTATGACAGTATGCGATTTTTATCTCAGTAATGTTGACATAGTTTATAATTTGAAACTTCACAAAGAAGATTAATCAGAACTGGCTTTGACAAGCACTGTGGCATTTGGACAAGAACAACTGGGAGGAGGGTAGAGAGAATAGTGCAACAATGAATGAATGGAAACCCAAAATCTCTGTAAATGTTTATGAAAATTAATAAAATATAGAAAAAAAATAATTTGAAACTTGATGTAATTCACTACTATCCCATCTCAGTGTGGGTGCATTGAAACACCCATAGCTGACCCTCCTGTGGATTTGCAAAGGCTGTAAAGAGGAGACTGCCCTTCTTTCTCTCTTAGATGAGTTGGTGAATTCAAACTGTCTTTGGGTTGGCACTGAGATTCTTTATCTGCTAGGCCACCAGCGCTCCTTGTCCTGGAGAGAGTGAAGCAGGGCTGCTCCTTGGAGGCTTTGTCTGATATACTTTGGACATGTTCCAGGGCAGTACCGGTCCTTGAAGAGGGACATCATGCTTGGGAGAGTGGAGGGACAGCATACGAGAGGAAGACCCTCGATGAGACGGATTGATTCAGTGACTGGGGTAACGGGGCAAGTGTGTCGGAGATGGTGAGACTGGCACAGGATAGAGCAGAGTTTAGGGCTGTTGTACATAGGGTCACTGTGAGTTGCAGGCAACTCGATGGCACATAAAAACAGTGCAACCAGGGTATTCCTTGGAGGCAAAAATGATGAAACTTTGATTCACATAATTGTTAAGGAGAGCCTGTTCATTGGGAAGGGACATCATGCTTGGAAATGTTGGAGGGTCAGCGAAGAGGAGGAGGACCCTCAATAAGATGGCTTGCTGTGCTGTCCGAAGCAGTGGACTCACATGTGTCAAGGATGATGAGGATGACTCAAGGTAGGACAGAGTTTGGATCTTCTTCTGTTGGTTGCTGTGAATTGTACTCAATAGTACATAATGACCGCAAACTTTAACTCAACTCAAATCCATCCTGGAAGAAATGTAGCCAGGGTCCTCCTCAGAGGCAAGGAGAGTGAGATTTTTGTCTGTCGTACTTTGGGCTTGTTACTTAATGGAAGCAAACCCGTTCTTGGAGAAAGACATTATGCTTGGGGAAAGAGAAGACAACTCCATAAATTGAATTGACGCAGTGACTGCAGCAGTGAACTTAAACACGACAGAGGTTGTGAGGATGGCAAAAGATTGGGCAGGACTTCGTTCCTTTGTACTTGGGCTTGCTGGGAGTTGGAGCTGCCTTGCTGGAACCTAACAGCAGCAACAACAAACTCATGGCTTTTACATTATTTAAATCCTTTTAACCTTTAAGAGACAAGGTTCCTAAAAAGATTGTCGAGATACTTCACTTATTTTTTCCCCCTTCCTATCTCCTCAAGTCCCCATTGTACCTTTTTTTAAAAGCATAGGTTTATTTTTTAAACACAGATTCTTCCCTCCCCCACTTTCATTCATTGACATTATGTTTCATACAATCATTCCTATACATTGTGTTTTATAAAATTAATCACCATTGGACTACAACCTTGGGGTAATGATAGGCACTTATTTTTATTACAATTTCCTTTCTTTTTCTCTGTTTTTGCTTATTCTTGATGTTTTATTGTGAAATTTAAGACTAAGAATTCCTCTTAAACTTAAAAGAGAATTTTAAATTTTTATTAATGTGTGAGTGTGTGTGTACCATCAAATCGGATCTGACTGGTACAGGAGGAGATTGTCCCTCCTTTTCCAGCAGAGCATCTGGTGGATTTGAACTGCGCACCTCCTTGATTGCAGCGCAGCTTCTCCCATTAGGCCACCAGAGCTTGCCAAAAGAGAATTTTTTAAATAGTTAATGTATCATGTATATATTTTGCTCATGGGAGACAATCTGTTATACCTGATAGTTTAAGCATCCTTTATTTAATTTTCATTATTATAATTTCTAATCAATGTCTATTATAGTAATGAATCACTCCTTTATTGTATATTGCCTTTCTCTTTACTAGCTTAGCAATTTATTACTACTTGACTCTACCTCTTTTCGCGTTACTGTTAACTTTCCAGTATTGATTCTGTCTGAGTGTAAATCTTTCTTTAACTGTATATAATAGTGACCTTATAATTGACCTTTTGTGATTGACTTATGTCACATCACATAATTTGTTCTCCCTTTGTCCATGTTGTACAGTATTTCACAAATTCCTTGTCTTTTTGTGACATGTAATACCCCTTTGTGTGAATATACCGTAGTTTCTCTGGCCGTTCATCAGTTGATGCACACTTGAGTCTTTTCCACCTCCTTACTGTTATAAGTTATGCTGCGGTGAGCATGGGTGTACCTACATTGGTTTGTATTGCAGCTTTGTTTCTTTGAGTTCTATACCTGGTAGTGGGACTACTGGATCAAAATCGGATTGCACTTTCCAATTTTGTAAGGAAGCACTACACTGCTTTCCATAGTCATTGCTCCATTTTGCATTCCCATCAGCAATGTATGAGCATTCCAATCTCTGTACATTCTTGACAGCATCGGTGGTTTGCTGTCTTATGGATCATTGCTATTGTTGGCAGGGTGAGGTGATAGTTTGATGATTCTTAATATAGTTTTAGGTACATGAAAGGAGTACTCTTACTTTGGATTTGATTCCGTAAGTGTACGCTTTGTAGGAAAGATAGAAACTGACAAGGTGATGTTCAAGCAGATGTCTACAGATGGTAGTTTGATTATGAATCCAACTGGAAGATGTGGACCGCTGATTGGTCACTGTTAAGGATATTTTAATTTAAGTGAATCAGGATAAGAGTATTATATTTAATAGATGCCCTCTTTTTTTTTATCTCCTAGGAAATATATTAGCAACCATGATTGAAGACAAAGGGCCAAGAGTGACAGACTACTTTGTTGTAGCAGGACTCACTGATACATCTACTATTTTGGATCAAGAAATTAATCGTCTAGATCCCAAATCAGCCGGACCTAAAGCTCCAATTACAGATATTGCTGTTATTATCAAATCAGCTGGGGAGACAGTTCCTGAAGGTTACACCTGTGTGGAAGCCACTCCGACAGCTCTCCAGGCAAACTTAAATTATGGAAGTCTAAAAAGCCCAGAACTTTTCCTCTGTTATAAGAGGGGAAGAGATAAACCACCTCTTACCGACATTGGGTATGGCAACCTTTTTTTTTTTTTCTTTTATCCTAGTGAAAGGAATAAAATTTGTTTGGGAGAAGAAATTTTAGATTATTGACAGTTTTGGTGTGTAATTAAAATTTGGGAAAGAGTAAGAGAGACTAAAGGATTTTTGGTTTTTGAGAAAGGAGGAAACCCAGCATTAACCGGAAATGTATTTGCCTATCTGTGTATTCTATGTTTTCTTCCTCCTTGTCATGCAGAGTTTTATATGAAGGGAAGGAACGGCTTATCCCAGGATGTGAAGTGATCCAAGCCACACCCTATGGGCGCTGTGCCAATGTCAACAATAGTTCAACGACTTCACAGAGAATCTTCATCACTTACAGAAGGGCTCCTCTCATTCGACCCCAGAATTCCTTGGCTGTAACTGATATATGTGTTATTGTAACCAGTAAAGGAGAAACTCCTCCTCATACCTTCTGCAAAGTGGAAAAGAACTTAAATTGTGGGATGGTAAGAGTAAAGCTGCTTCATTTTCAGTTTTATATGAAAGCTGAAAAAAGAATCGTGAGCCAATTTTTGAACTATCGACTCTTGTGTGTATAGTTTACTGTGGGTTGTCATTTCATTGCTTTTGTTGTTATTACTATTATTATTATTATGTACTGTCAAGTTGGAATACCCTCCAGTGGGTTTTCAGAGGCTGCAAATCACTTTGGAAGATTGCCCATCTATCTCTTGCAGAGCACCTGGTGGATTTGAACTACATGTCTTTGAGTTGGCAGCGCGACTGTTTACCACCAGGCCACCAGAGCTCCTCTCTCTCTCATTTTTATGATTCATAGTAAAGGTTTAAATTCTTATAGTTACCTGATGAATTAGAGTAATTCCTTAAAAAAATAAAGTTAGGAGGTTTTGCGATTGTATTTCCCAGTGTTGGTTCGAATCCACCTGCTGCCCTGAAGAAGGATGGGCAGTCTTCTCCCAGGTGATTAACTATCTCTGAAACCTCCCAGAGGGTCAGCTATGGGTTGGCTTCCAACTCAACAGTATATAAAAAACTTCAGACACCTATGTATTTTCCAGTGTTGCCTATTTTACACTAACATGGGGCTTTCTTAGTCTTTGAGTTCCACAAGTGTCTTCAAGGACAGCTGCAGATCTAGCAGGGGAAGCATCACATCAGTGTATTATTTTAAATATTAAAGTTCTTCATACTTGTTTTTCATTTTTTTTAAAAGTTTCTCTTTTATTAAGTGTTTT